AACTCATGTAGATAGAAAGTCAGGGAAAACAATACTGCAATTGTCTAGTGCTTTCCACACTGAAATGAGCACCTGCTCCTTTGTACATTGAGCTCCTATTCATCCCTCAGAACCCTTTTCATACATTGTTTCCTCCCTGAAACCCTGGTGATTTTCCTCCGAGGGACAGAGAATCTGCCACTGCCTCCTCGGAGCATTCACATTACATGATAAATACATTCTTCTGGGGTAGAATCAGCCCACTGTGTGTTCTCATCATTTTGATTATGCCCCTTGGCTGTGGACTTTGTCCCATTTGTGGCTGTGTCCCTGGCTGCGAGCAGAGACTGGAAAATAAGAAGTGGTTGATAGTGGCTGACCTGAATTGAAGCATGAAATTAGTAGACAGGAAGTCTTGATAAATCAGCCACCTCCTCTAGCATGTTGGAAAGGCAAAAAGACAATCTCCCCGCTAGATGACAGGACATAGCCTGCTAACAGGGTGACTGGAGTAAATGCAATTCCCTCTAGGTAAATTAAGTTCATCCACAGATAACAAGGTCAAGCGGAGAGAGAGGATGAGTGAGGGTGATTGCTTAGGTGTGGGGCATGGCCAAGAGAGCAGAAGCCTGGCACAGAAACGCCATCTCCTGACCATGCATAGAGAGGGCAGAAACTGCCCCTAAGGGCCCAGGAGCAGGACATCCACTGTAGACACCTGGTTACACATCCTCCCACCTTGGCCAAGGGTCCAGTCAAAACACTTCTGAAACCAAACTAGGTACTCCCCACTGGCCCTCCCACTGCCCCAAGGCAAAGTGCTTACTCCCCTACTCTGAGAGTTCCCAGCACCCCTGGCCAGCTGGCTGCTACCCACTGCCCCCACCCCATCATGCTTCTTCTGCACTCAAAACGAAACACTCAACTGCACTGGCCCGCTGGGGCCCTGGCACCTGTTAAATTGTACTCCTTATTTTTCAAAAGTAAATATCACAGTGGGCTAGAGAGATGGCTGTTGGTAAAGTGCTTGCCTTCCAAGCATAAAGGCCTTAGTTGGACCCCCAGCGCCTATGTAAAAAAGCTAGCACAGTGGTACACACTTGTAATCCCATTTCTGGGGAGATGGAAACAAACCAGTCCCCAGAGCTCACTGCCCAGGGAGCCAGCCTAGCTGAATCAGTGAGAGACAATGTCTCAAAAAACTAGATGGCTCCTGAGGAACGACACTGGAGGTTGACCTCTGGCTACCACATACACACATACATACATGCATGAGCCACACACACACATGCACACATGATACATACCCATTCAAACACATCCCTACAGGGATATGCACGTACACATACACATATACACACACCCACACAAACACATGCATGCACACACAGCCACATACATGCACAATCACACATGAACACATATGAATCCATATGAACACACCCATACAGGCCCACAAAAAACATATCTTCATTCACATGCACCCACACTCTCACAGGAATATACATGCACATGCACATAAATACAGGTACCAAAACTCGCACAAACATACACACACACTAACATGAAAACATGTCTATGTTTTCACATCCATACCCACAAGAACACACAGTCACAAGTATATACATTCACATGCAAAAACTCACATACACACATGTGAACACACAAGATGACTTGTCCCAAACTGCCAACAGTGGCAAGGTGAAAAGGTACTTCAACCAAGGAGGCAGTGATGCGACAAGAGCGTGGTACCAATGGCACAGTACTGTGGTGGGGGTCAGGGAGCATGCAGGGCAGAGGGGGTCCAGGTGACAGGGAGTGGGATCTGGAGAGCTGAGAGCACTGTACTGTTAGCACAGGGGTGGCAGCATGGCTGAGCAGTGTATATGTACATGTAAGTATTTCTAGAAGGACTCAGGATTCCAGGGATGATAGAAGCAAAATAGGGGGTGCAAACTCTGCTCCTGTGGGTCTTCAATGGGGCCAGGAAACCAGCATTTGGACAAGAACCCCAGGAAAGTGCTTCCTGGGGTGCAGTGAAAGATAACATGGGATTAGATTGTGACCCCACTACTGACTCAGCACTGATCTTGGGTCATCTCTCTAGGCCTCAGTCTCCTCATCTATAGGCTGAGCCATCTACTTTCTGGCTTTGTTAAGGACCAGAGATAACTCTCACATACAGGTCACACAGGTGAGCATTCATCCAACTCATTGCTTAGCTCAAATTGATGCCCAAACAGGATGTCTCATTTAATGCTGCCAGTACAAGATGATGGGGTTAAAGCAGGCAGACCCCAGCCCTAGGCCCAGACCAGCCTCTGCCAAGAGTGTACTGCGGCCCAGGCTTCAGGCTGCACTCCCAGAGCCAAGATCCCCCAGAGGTTGCAGGCTGAAAATTTGAATCCAAGGCCTCCACTTTAGCCTCTCTCCCT